ACCAGCTAAGGGCAGCAATGTGCAGTGAGCTTCAGATCTTCTCTGTATTAGGAGCTTCAAGGTCTCAGGAAGGTAATGAAGATACCAGCAAAGATATGACAAACCCTCCCTGCCCAGAAAGTTTAGATTATGCCTCCTTCAGAGCTACTTTGAAGGCATGCTTATTGTCTTCTGGAGGGCAGTCAAAAAACCCTTAGTCCATCTCCAACAGGTCAAACAACTGCATTACAAATTAAGCCTGTTCAAGAAATTAGAGATCTAGATGAGAATTCTGCTTTGTGTACTCCTTGCTATCTGAGGTTTTAGTGCATATTTAAACAAGATCCACGTTTTCATTCATTTGCCATGTTCTGGGAAAAGAGTTCTGCTGTTTTCAACTGCGTAATATTTTTTTCCTGAAACTACCTGCTCCAAACCTGGATCTTCCAGAAAAAAAAGACTGTAACAGTCTCTGATAAGAATTCACAACCTCAAGGACCTCCTGTCCATGCCTATCCTCATCTCCAGCAGGAAGAATTAAGATAACATCCGTATTTCCTGGTGAGACATTGCTTTCTACAGCAATGCAGATCAATACACTAAAATACATAGGTCTCTCCAAAAGTAACATTTCTTATTTACTTCCATGAAAACCACAATAAATACAAAGAGCACAACAGCACTATTTCCCAGAGCAAATTCTCAGCTATGAAACACTATTTCTCAATATAGTCACTGTCATTTATGGAATGACAAACTATAAACACAGGTTCAGAAGTACAGCTGTGCATGGCTATTCAGAGCGTAACTTATTTCTCACAGCACCACCACCACTGCAGAAACACACCATCCATAGCATCACTGTGCTCACATCCCCTGTTTGATTTCCAAAAATGCTGAGAAAGCATCCATGAATGTCAATGGGTGCCATTCTTTCCACATGAAGGGACTCAGCGACACACCTTTGCTTCATACACACTTCCATGTCAGATGCGATTTTGTCAGACTGCTTCTCTGCTGCCATCTGCAACTCAGCAAAAAAATGTAGCGGAATACTGAAGGGTCAACCCCTACTGCTGTACTACCAGCATCCACCTCTGACATTGTGGGCCAACATAATAACATAGGAGGCATTACTTTTGGACCATCCCCCGTAGATCTGTTGCGATTCTAGCTCAGCACCTCCTGTTGCCACAATGTGTACTAAGTTGAGTGGATAGAAGTCTCTGATTTAATGGGTCATATTAAAGTGCTTTACAGGGCTTTCATAATTGGTACCTTGCTGCTCAGAATGGCGGATAGGTTTTGCAAATACTCTCCAAGATCATAACCACCTGAAAGGCAGGAGGATTTCACTACAAGATAAAAATTACTGCAGAGCACAGAACAGCAGCAGTGTTTTAAACACAATCCCATCCCAATTTGTACCAGAAACAGCCTGCAGCATAACAGCAATGTTCTGATGCCCTAAAACATGCAGTTCACCTCAACACTTCTGAGTGCTGTCTGCTTGTTTCCCACACAATCACGTTGTGAGGCTTCAGACGTCTGTCATTTCAACACCATCAGTACCACTTTCTGTCTAGCACCCTGAAGTCTGGCCAGTAAATGAGACACATTGTCTTGCATTGCTGTGCTTTCTTCACTGCCGTTGAGAGGCTGGACACATCAAGCATGCTCTGTGGGTTCTCTCCTTTTCCCTCCAGAGGTGCCAGATGGAATGTCAGCTTTCAGACTAAACAAGTGGCACTTGATGCAGCGGCGAGGAAGGACACCCTGACAGCTGACAATGCTAGGACAAACTAGGCGTCAAGCGAGGAAAAAACAACCTAAAATCCTTTTGTAAATATTAAGACACCAAATCTCTCAAAGCTGACTGAGAAAAAGCTGACCAAAGACACATGAGAGAAGCAGAACAGAACAGGCGTTCAGGTCATTAATAGCAAAACCAGCTCATCTACAGATCTCATTACGGATTCATACAGAAACCCTTGCAGAGACACCAGTGATCTGCAAGGTTTAAAGCCATCACCCACCAGCACTACCTCCTGGGCAGCTGCACTGTAAGATATGCTGGTGTAGCTCCAAATGAGAGCTAGTCCAAGCTGCATGGCTTCACATTTGCCATTACTGACATCAGCCAGTGGAAACACACAGTAAGTACAGGGCTGCCCAGAGAGGTGGGAGAGGTGATGGATGTCCCATCCCTGGAGACACTCAAGGTCAGGCTGGGGCTCTGAGCAGCCTGGTTAAGCTGCAGATGTCCCTGTTCATTGCAGGACGGTTGAACTAGATGACCTTTAAAGATCCCTTCAATTAACTAAGCTACCTCTAAAGTAGAGATGCAGAACTTGACTTCCTTTAAAATCAATGAAGAGTAAAAAGGCATGCTTGGGGCCTGGTTTGTCTCCTGAAACAGACACAGCAATAGGCCAGAAGTCTACAAAGGAAGCCAAAAGAAGCAGTTCACTTGAAAAAATCTACATAGGCATCTAAGACCTCATTACAGGAATTCTACTGCCTGTGTATATCTATTTTCTGTAACAAACTTGAATGCTAAACACAGTACATTTACTAACTCTACCATAACACAGACAAGAAATGAAAGAGCTCAGATTTATATTGGAAATATACACAGTGCTTCTGAGAAGTGCAGGTTCTCGACTGTTCTAAGTTCAGACACCTCCATTTGATTTCAATAAAGCAAAAAATACATTGCTTAGGGGATCTGCATTACTCTTAGCTTTGCAAAGGTCTTAGAGATATAATTTCTGAAGATTTGTTCTTTCTCCCCTGCTTCTTTTGTAAAACAATTTGTGATATTCAAATCACAGCTCTAAAAAGAACATGATTACATATACTGCCTTAAAATCCACTATATACTTGTTTCTGTGCAGAAAGAAAAGATAATTCTAAAGGGACTGCTTTTTTTCAGAAGCCACTTCTTGCGAGTTATTGGTAATCTACAGTTTTATATATTGGGATATGGATGATAATTGGCATTAACAGCAACATCTCACCAGTAGCTGATAATTCTATTACCCCTTATCTTTTCTCTTTACACACAGTTGCTTTCCCAGCTGACAAAATACAATCACTAAGGCCACAAGGTATTCTATTCAATTTTCAAAACACGAGACTCAGTGTCAGAGAGTTGACCTGAAACATAACTTGCAGAATTGATTTGCCAGCATTGTGCATCCATCCCCAGCTCATGTTCTTATAGCTAATGGCAGGCAATTGTTCTTTCTGTATGTGTTTCAGGTGCAGGTGGCAGAAACTGAACTCAGTGAGGAAGGCAACATCTCAAATGAACTGGTTCTTCTCTGTATTTCACACTGTATCTGCACTCTTCTTGCATCCCTTTAAGCCTGTAATTGAGATCTCTAAAATAAATTGCTAACTCTCTTTGGTATCACGCATAAACTGTCAGGAAAGTGAAAATGTGATACATAGAGAATCTGAATAAATAGGATAAAGGCTGAGGAAATAGGTTGTGAGAGGAGCTTAAATGACAGAATGCTGCATAAAAACTCTCCCAGCCCAATATCCCGTTTCTGGGAGCAGCCATTAAAATATGCTTAAGAAAGATTATAAGGAATGTGGCAAATGTCTTAATACTTCTTCAGTATTCTCCTCAAACAGTCCGAAGATTAGAGACCATTAACTGTCAGAGGGCTTAAGGGAATGAGTGCGAAGAGGGCTGCTTGGTAGAGATGCAGGGTAAACAGCGTGCTTCGTGCCAGCACATTTGACACAGGGAGATATCCCTGTGTAGCTATACTACAACAAATGCTCTCTGTATTGTAACAGTGTCATGAGTTCTACTTAGGACAGTGTCCACAGCACCACTTAGGCAGACCTGCTTCATAGTGGAGAATACAGATACAGAGCTGGAAGAAAGACATTTGAATACTATTAAAGAGCAATTCACAGCACTGAGGGAGAGACTTCAAAGATGCCACTTCATTTGGAAAACTCATTTAGCTAGCACTTCTCTGCTCCATTTGGGGTACCTACTGTCCTGCCCCAGCCCAGGTAGGAGGGGTGCACAAAAACAGCATGAATGAAGACCAGTTAGGCCCATACTCTGCCGCTGTCTGGACAACAACTTATGCTTTAAGAAAGGCCAGAAAACTGGGGTAATTATGCATTATACTTACAACTGGCATTACTCTCTTAACCTTTTCCTATTAAAGTTTCAGACATTTCCACAGCTGAGTGCGCACTTGGACCAGTAACTTGAACAGACACTGATGCACTTATTTTCCCTGAACCGGTCTAATCCGTTTTAGGGTTTAGTTTATTTGACTCCATTCCACAAAAACATGAGCCAAAACAAATTAACACAGAAAACATTGCTTCTTAGGAAATGAACAAGATGGTGTTGTTTATTTATCTTCCTTACAAGGAAATGCTATGCTAAGCAGAAGAAAGTCAGCTGCCAAGCAATGATGACAACTAGTACTTGAGCATACAACTGTATAGGGAGCAGGAAATTAACATTTTTCTCTGCAGGGAATCTTGGTTTACACCTTTGGTCTAGAGGACATTCAGAGAGCAATGGAAGAGCATGGAAGAACATGAAAGCAACCTGTAATCTCACTGTTCCATGGGTGTTAATTGACCTGGCAGCCATTCAAATCGCTGGCATTAAAATCCTCTTATCTGAGAGCTGCACATTTCAGCATTTCTGCAGTCTCTACTATGTACAGAGGCATTGTACAGGGCCAGCAGGCTACCAAAAAAAATAAGAAAAAGAGGCAGAAGCTTGAGGATGACTGCAAATCAGTAAATTGTGATCAGAACATCTGTTAGTAGTTAGAGAAACATGCTATCTGGAGAAATTCACATCTCAATAAAGCAAAGGTTCCATCAAGAATGTAATAAGAAGATCATTGAGAAAACAAGCATAAATGTTCTCTGGTAAGAATATGCTGCAATCAAGGTAAAACTGTGCTGAAGGCAGAAAGTTTGAGTAAAGATATTGGTCTCTGAAAGGAATTTTTTTTTCTACGTACCTGTCCAGTCTCCTACTACTTTAAGGTGGACCCCAAACGTTGCTTTGGTATCTGTAGGGCACTAAAAATATTAAATATATTAAGGACCGATTCTATGTAATGAGAAAGTAAAAAAAACAAATGCATTCAAAATACAGTTGTTAAGACAGAATTTGTTGTAAATAGGTCATTCCTGAGGAGACACATCAGCAGCTACTCCCTTTATAAAGCAGGTCTAGCACCAGTATGGTTCCTCCACTCAATTGTTTACAGAAGAGTGTGGGGTCGCTTTTGCCTGGACGTGCCATTTGGAGCAACCACTTCACTAAGCATTACTCAGCAATGGTATCAAACAAAAACACAGCACTACAGAAGTACTTCTCCTACTGCCAGCCCTTATCATTCCACATCAGGAACTGCCCCATCATCCCAAAATCAAGGCATTTAAAGAAACATCTTCCTATTTAGAGATTTCTGGTTTTTCAGGGCTCATAATTTCAAGCTGATCACTCTCATACAACTGTTGCTTTCTTCTGTACTAAAACTGAGATTTTGGTGCCCTTCAGAAGAGCTTAGAGCCTGCAAAGGAAAAACATCAGAGTGCATGACATACAATAAAATCACTTCGCAGCCTCTATACTCTCAGTTTACACTTATAACCTCACCTCAGGGCTACTTAAATGTAACTATCAACAAAGGAATTGTTATTTACAGTCTTATTTACACCATGATATCTAGAAACCTCCAGTCAAGCCATGTCAAAGGACTGAGGAGCCTTCTCAGTTCCACTCCTTGTCAGCCACAGGGAGAGCTCAAACTCAGTGGCTGGACAACTTCTGCTGAGACACCGAATGATTTCACACATGAACAGGATAAGCATTATTCCTCAAAGATTCTTTACTTTCCTTCTATAAATCAACACTATTGGTTTGTCTTTGACAGATGATACTACTAATTTTGACATCTTTCCATCAGAGCCTGTGAACAACTGATCTAAGGTCCATCATGAATTCAAAACCCGATCAGTGACACTTCTGTCTCTACTTTCTCCTGCTACAGACAAACACTGAGGAGAAGGTTGAAATCACTGGAACGTATCTGTATTATAAATAAAAGAGGCTCGAGGATATAGTCCAAGCACTGAAGCCTCAATCATCCACCAAGCCTGTGAGGAGTCTTCTTGGCTCTTTTTTCAACCATTTCCAGCATGAAATCAATCTGAGATAAGGCTGGAGCGGGAAACCACTGGCCTCAGGGCTTGAGGATCCACTCCTATTCCTCCTTATACAGCAGAAAAGAAGTAGGTAATATTTTAATATTCTCTGCATCTTGCCAAAAACCTAGAACACGGACTAAAAAGTCCCTGCTAGTCATTCAATCTTCCTGAAGAGGAAGACCATTCTTTTTTAAGAGCACTGATCACTACTAAGATTTCTTAACTGTCATCTTCCAAGTTTTCCTACAAAAATTTAATACAGATACTTACTTAGGCAAGTCTTAGCCTTCAAAAATGCAGTATTAAGGTCACGGACAAATGTCGTATAACAAGGTCTGTGTTTGCTATGGCAATTTGCACAATCCTCCAGAAGAAAAATATAAGAGCAATTCTCAACATAAAAATAGATGTGTTTTCTCTCAGCTAGAAAGAAGCATTCTATCTACAAAAATATTTGTTTTCCTGGGGACTTCTGTAAAAGCCTTTGGCAGAGCTGATTTTTCATTCTGGGTTGTCCTGCGGTTCTCTGTGTTTCACAGGAGACTGACTGGTTTTCTTAGCACAACCATGAAAAATCCTAGTTCAGGATATCTATAAAACTGCCTGCTATTCCCTCATTCCATTACAGTTAGTGGCTGAACAACCCTTGACTCTAGCTGAAATAGGTTCAAATCTATTATACTTTATGTTAACCTTGGGACAAATCCCTTTTTACATTACATTGAAAAATAATAAAAAAAAAAGATTTACATCTCTTTAGCCTCCAGGAAGCCTACTTTGATTCCTATAACTAGACATGAGGGTTCCTCAGAGAGTTCTAGAAAAATCTTATTATGCTACTAAACCTTACCAGAAGAAACACCCATCATGCAGGCAATACAGTGTTAAATTCCCCACGTGCAATAGGAAGAAAAAGTGCAGATGGTCCAGCAAAGAGCCACCAAGATGATTTGGTTACAGAATCAGACATATGAAGAGAGATCCAAGAAAATGCGTTTAGTCCACAAAGAAAAGAAGGTTCAGAGTGATCAGAGTGGCCTCTGACATGGTCCCACACCACATCCTTATCTCCAAATTGGAGAGATATGGAACTGAAGGGTGGACTATTCAAAGGATAAAAATTGGGTGGATGGCTGCAGTTGGAGGGTTGCAGTCAACAGCTCCATGACCAGCCAAGGCCAGTGATGAGTGATGTCCCTCACCAGTCTTTGGACAGGTGCTCTTTAATATATTTATCAATGACACAGACAGTGAGATTGAATGCACCCTCAGCAAGTTTGCTGATGACAGAGTGGTACAGTTGATACAACAGAAGGAAGGGGTATAATCCATAAGGACCTGGACAGGCTTGAAAAGTGGAATCACAAGAGTCAAAGGCCAAGAGTAAGGTGCTGCACTTCAGTTGAGACGATTCCAGGTGTGTGTACAGACTGGAAGAAGAAAGCCTCAAAAGCAGCCCAGCTGAGAAGGACTTGAGAAGGTCTTTTAGAAGGTCTTCATGGGTAAGAAATTGAACATGAGCCAGCAGCGCATGCCTGCAGCCCCAAAGGATGACAGTATGCTGGGCTGCATCAAAAAAGAGGTGGCAGCAGGGCCAATTAAAGTCATTTTATGATAATTATCTGCCAATATCTAAAAAAAAGCTATAAAGACGATGGAGATGCTCACTTTACCACCACATCTGGTTACAGGACAAGAGAAAAGCCGCTTCAGGAGAAATTCATTCTGGATGTAAGAAAGACATCCTTCACTGGAAGAACAGCTAAATATTGGAATAGGCAGCCCACAGAAATGGAGGAATTTATCTTTTTCCACTGCAGAGGAATGCCCTTGCACCAGTATGTTATACAGACGATAATCTGCAGAGGATCCTTCCATCTTAAGTGCTTTGAAACTGTAATTTGAACTTGAAAATTTTTATTTTTGCATTTATTGTAAAAAACCACTTATTTTATGCCTCTCATCTCCAGAAAGACAGCAAGTCTCCCAACTGTGGCTTTTTCTAGACTGTGAAAATTCTGCATAAGCTGAAGAAAAATATTCAGACAGAATTTTGAAAAGTTCAATGATAAAAGTGGGTTAACTTTCATGTATTCTCAACAGACAACTGTGCAAGTGTAATGAAGTACAACAAAAGTATCTTTACAGATTGGACTGTCTTCATGGAATCAGGAAATCAAAGAATAGCTGAGACTGGAAAGCATCTCCAAAATCTGGCTTAGCTCATTCCCTCTGCTCATGCAGTCAGTGAGAGCAATGCCCAGTCTTGTTTTGCTTGTCTTCAAGGAGGAAACTCCTCAGTATCCCTAGGCAACCCATGCCAGTGTTCATACTCTCTCACAGTAGATGTGTTTTTTTCTTTTGTTCAAATGGAACCTGAAGTACTTCAGTTTGTGACCACTGTCGTGTCACTGTATATAACTGAGAAGAGTCAGCTTTGATCTTAATTTCCCCCTAGCAGGTATTTATGCCCATCGATAAGATTCCCAAGCCTCCTCCAGGCTGAAGAGTCCCAACTCTTTCAGCCTCTCCTTATAGAAGAGATGCTCCAGACCCTTAAGCATTTTTGTGTTTGTGCTCCAGCATGTCTATGTCTCTCTTATACTGGGCAGCTCAGAACTTGAAATGAAGCTCAAGATGTACTCACGAGTGCTGAGTAGAGTGGAAGGATAATGTCACTTATCTGCCTAACAGTTCAGGAGGCTGCTGACCTTCTTAACTGCAAGAAAACATTGCTGGTTCATGTTTAAGCTGGTGTGAACTCTTGTCCTTGTCCAACTCTTGGGTCAGCATCAAAAGACATGTGAAATATACTATTGCCTATTTTACATACCTCAATCTCTGATCACCTATTCCTTTTTATTTCATAGAATCATAGAATATCCTGAGATGTAAAGTACTCAGAAAGATCATCAAGAGCAGTTCTTCCCTCCATTCAGGATCACCCATAATCCAAACACTGTATCTGAAAACCTTGTCCAAATGCTCCTTGAGCTCCAGCAGCTTGGAGCTGTGCACACTGCCCTGGGTAGCCTGTTCCTTGCCCACCCCCCTCTGATCATAAACTATTGCTTTTTGAAGAACCCAACCTGATCCCCCCCAACACAGCTTCATTTGTAATATGCAACATTTCATCTTTAAAACACCTCACAGCTAACACTGCTTCAAGATTCTTATTACAGTCAGCTCATGCACACACATAAACTGACATCTATTTGTTCTGTACAGTAAAAGTCCAGCACAAGCTGAAATGCCCTCCTGAATTGGAAATCAAGAAAATATTTATGTGGGCATTGGTCAAATAAGGGCATATCAAGATGCTTAAACAATGTATGATGTCCTTTCTGCAGTTGTGAATAAAAAAAATCAGTAAAACTGCTTTTAAAATGTGTTTTGGCAAGTTATGTTTGGCTTTTCCCTTCTCCTTCTAATCTGGAAAGCCTAAGACAGAAGCCAGTGACTATTAACTTTACTGAAGCAAAAGCTGCATTCACTTCCTTGTTTATCTCTTATTTCTCAACAGAATGACAAAGAGGAAATTGTTAAGATTAGACAGTCCTGACATAATAATAAGTAAAAACCAAAATACATAATTCTCACCATTTATTTTCCTTAAATAATGTTTTCCAAACAGGAAAATCAATAACTTGTAATAAGATGGGACACTGGACATTATCAAACAGAATGTCACACATTTTTCAGTCGTTCTTTCTACACTTTGAAGAGCAGTAATGAACCTCATTTGATACACACATTTGATTAAAATGCCACAGTACACAAATTAACTGTGGCAGATAGGTGTAATTACGTGAAGCTATGTTAATCTTATTCTAACCCCAAGCTATCTGTATCTTCAAGAAGTGAAA